CAATTTTATACTCTTATCAATGTGAATGTTAACATGTCAATGTGAATATTCACATTGTCAACGGGCCGGACCGGGCTTGCCCCGGGCCGTCCATGGGCTGCGGGCGGGTTTCGTGCCGCCACGGGATGGGGGCCAATTTTACACTCCTATTAATGTGAATTTTAACATGTCAATGTGAATATTCACATTGTCAACGGGTCGGGCCCGCCCTGGCTCGCGGGCTGGTTTCGGGCCGCCCACGGGCCAATTTACATTCCTACAAATGTGAATTTTAAAATATGAATGTTCACATCATTAAATTGTTAATCGTTGAAAAAACATTTATAAGGGTATCAAAATTAAATATAAGGGCATAAGTGTCCAGGAAAATAGAGTAAATCAAGAAAATGGACTTTATGGAATAAAACTATACATACACGGGACTAAATGGGTTAAAAAATTCCTTCATGGACTTCTTGGGTTAAAACACTTCTAAATTGGACTTATCAATAAAAATCCCTTTTTGTTACCTATATTACAATATTTAGAACAAAATTAGCAAAATTAAAATTTTAGGACAAAAGTAACACAAAATTCATATTCATGGGATGTAGACACAAAAGTGGGTTTAAAGAGTGGAACTAAAATTTCTACTAAGGGGTTGTTTGGGATGTCCTAAATAAGTGCACTTTTTAACTTTTTAGACTAAAAAGTAGAGGAAAAAAAGATGGTGGTTTGGGATAATTTTTTAACTTTTTACGAAAAAATGTGTATTAAAATATTGTATAAAATTACAAAATTACGAAATTACCCTCATTGACACAAGCAGCAATACTGTGCTGCACAGACAATAAGGACTTTTCAATTTTTATTTTATTTTATTAGAATGTGTGGTTTCAAATGCGCCACGTTTTCTTTTTGACTGGGGAAGTTGTGGCTGCACAGTTTTGTGCAGCACTGTTTTTCTTTTTTCGTTTTGTTTTTTTTTTTCAATTAACAGATTTCTCGCCAAAAAAGAGGTAAATAGTATAAACTTTTTTACTTTTTTAATGACTTTTTAGCTTTTAAAATTTTTTTTGGTGATGCCAAACCAGCCCTAAAACAGGTTTTTAATCATTATTGGATATTTATTGTATGAGTAAGTAATATTACTTGAGTAATGATTGAGATCTCCATAAAAACTCCACCGCCACATCATCCTATGAGAGAGAGAAAGAGAGGGAAAAAATAAAAATAAAAACACATATAGACCAATTTGAGTGTCATGGGGTCCCCAAATTGGGGGTCCCAAGCTTTTTCAATATTACCTTTTCTTATAACCAATCATATTTACCCTCCATTTGGAGAAGTGGGTTGACTTTTTGGTTTTTTTGGTTATTTTAGCCTGGGACTAAAAAGCCTGATTTGGGAAGGGCTTTTTGACTTTTTTAACTTTTTTGTGAGGTGTCTTCCTATTAAATTATCAAACTGCCCTTCATCCACGTTTACATGTCACCAACTGAAATCAACTCCTCCACGTCAGCCTCCGTTTGGATCGAATTTGTTATTTATTTATTATTTTGGGTTTGGATTTGACGTATTTGCATGGTTTTTTTTTTAAAAATAAATTATGTTTTTGTCATTTTTCTTTTTTTATACATTAATTAGTTCTTCTTCTTTAATTTACGTTTTGTGCCTTATTTATTTTTATTGGTATACAATAAAAATTTTTTATTTTTTAAAAATGAGTTTTCATGTGTTTTATTTATTTGTAAATTACGTGGCAAATGGTAATTTATGTTTTTATGTTTTTTTTAAAATGTTTTTGAATGAGGCGTATTTTTGTCGTTTTTTTTTAATTTACGTTTTTGTCATTTTTTTATTTGTACACATTAATTTGTTTTTATATTTCAAAAATGGGTTTTTATGTGTTTTATTTCTTTGTAAATTACGTGGCAAATGCTAATTTCTGTTTTTTGGCCTTTTTTTTTTCATTTTTTTTCGATGAGGCATATTTTTGTCGTTATTTTTTTTTAATTTACGTTTTTGTAATTTTTTTTATTTGCATACATTAATTTGTATTTATATTTCAAAAACAGGGTTTTATGTGTTTTATGTATTTGTAAATTACGTGGCAAATGCTCATTTCTGTTTTTAAAATTTTTGGTTTTTATTTTTTGGATGAGCCGTATTTTTGTCATTCTTTTTTTTAAATTTACGATTCTGTCAAATTTTTTGATATATACATTAATTTGCATTTATATTTCAAAAATCGGGTTTCATGTGTTTTATTTATTTGTAAATTACGTGACAAATGCTAATTTCTCTATGTCTGTTTTCATTTAAAATGATGTGAAAAATCATATATTGTCGTGGCACATGACAAAAAATGGGTGAACAGTTGTGGTTTTTTGTTGTTTTGAACTGGTGTTTTTATGTTTTTACTTGACGTCGCACATGATAATTTCTGTATTAGTTTTTTTTTTTTCTTATTTGTTTCACCTTGTTTTCTTTTTCGAAAAGGCTTTTTCTATAGTTTTTGGTTTTTCGAAGTTAGGCACGTCACCAACTAAAATGGGGTATATTCCCGTGTAAACACATACATATTGTACATGATAATATACAATAATATAGTCTGTTCCACGTGTGTTACCAATGTTACAACTTTACGAAAATTATGTCGACTATTATATATTTCCTAACGTTCCGTTATTACGCATGTAACATAACTTGTCACATATGCAAAGGCGCACCAATGCCATATGCGGGTCTTCATCCCCAACCATTAAACTATCCTCGTCATGTTCAACTTCTGGTATGGCATTTACTATTGTAATAGCCTCTTCCTTGTCACAGATTAGGTGAATAGTTGTTGGATTACCTGTGTTTCGCCGTATATAATTATGTAATGCCATTGACGCACCTACTAACTGAACTTGCACATTCGCAAAGTCATACCGAGGCATGTCTCGAATAAACCCCCATCGATTTTTCCAGGCACCGAAAGTGCGTTCCACCACACTGCGTAACGACGAGTGAACTTTGTTAAATAATTCCCTTGGCGTGTTTGCCGTCCTGTTTCGTTGAATACGTCAGAATTCTTGTTGGTGGTAACGACTGCCTCTGAATGGTGCTAAGTAACCTATCCGGTTTGGATAGCCAGAATCGACAAGATAATATTTGCCTGCAGACAGGACAACAATGTATGACACCAAAAACAAACATTGTGCTTCATTTTCAAGTAACGCTGTTTGACAAAAAATCATAGCCCTATCAATGCAGAATTCATGGCACTGTGTTACCTTCGTCAGGATGTAGAAATGGGACATTGTCATTTGTAAGTATCTCATTAAAGATGCAACTATTATGCATACTTCTTTCCCATCCGCACAAAATGAAGATGAAACACATGTCAAAATCGACCGCGGCCATGATATTTTGCGTGTGACAGTATTTTCTACCGAAATATGTTGCCGTATCTGGTCCCGTAACCCATGCACTTACATGTGTTCCGTTTATTGCGCCAATACAGTCCTGCAAACAACTCAATTATTTGCTTGCTTAAACGGGTAACAAGTAATGGTTTTTTTCATCACGTCACGTCCAGTTAATAATAAAAACAAAATAACTGCACTTGTTCCACCTATATGTCAATAATGTTTTTCAATAATACCTTGAACGGTAGGTATTTCTGTCTAGACTGCACGTATGGATGTATATGATGCTGACTGTATGTGGGCCGACAATGAACAACAGTGAACTCTTTCATAGAAGTTAATACGTTATACACGTGCCGAGACACTGTCTCCTCCGAATGTTGGAAATGTTCTTGGATTTGCCGATTTTGCATCCCTTGCAACACGTGGAGAAACATTGCAACGCTTTCTTTAACAGTTAAGCCATGTGGACGTTGCGGTACTTGTAACCCAAAATCATTTACTAATGTCTCACACAAAATGGCAAAAACTTCCTTCGGCATGCAAACATTTTCCTCAAATCGACCCATATGGCCCGCATATAGTTCGCATATCCATGCATGCTCGATCAATATCGAAGTGCGACATGGCGTTTTAGCCATGTGTTTTTCGTACCATTCTGTCGCATCGAAATGTCCAGTTGTGTTCTTGTTGCACTTGGACCGCCATTTGATTAAGCATTTCCCTTAAATCGTCATTATTGCTTCCATCTCAGGGATTCATCACTACCTTCGTTGATGCGAAACCTACAAAAGTGGCACTGTTTCAATCAGTTTGCACGTGATTCATTGACTCAAATTATATTGAAGTTTGCAATTAAAGAATGCCGACATTGTTTTTAATGTAAGTAATGCTGTCATCAATGTCATTACTAACGCATAATGATATGAATTGAACAAATTGTGAACCTGGTCGTTATTGTTTACAGGTGGACCATGGTGGTAACAACCACAAAAAATGACGTCAAACTAAACTAACAGTTAAATTTGCTAAATATAGACATATAAAAGCTAGCAAGAAAACCGTCGTTGTGCATTTCATTGCCATACATTTAATTAAAACAGAAGCATCCCATTCCTTTTCCAAAACACATGCACAACCATGCTTCCATTCCATCTATGACAAACTTAACTAAAAGTTTTGTTCACCATAGCTAGCAAGAAAAAAAAAACAACAAGGAAGGAATAAAAACATGCAAACACAACCATCCTATTTTAATACAGTGCCAACAATAACATAAGTAAAAGTTTTCAAAAGCAAGAGAAGGGTAGGTGTAATGACCCCAAAACATGTGTCATATTTATCAGTAATTAATTATGTGTTTATGCGAATTAATTGAAGGATATCTGTGTGAATTAGGAAAATATCTGTGGAGTTATAACTTCGGGACTGAAATTGATGACCGTAATGGGTTCAGAAAATGAAATTGAGCACGTCTATGTGATACCGGGAATTTTTAGAACCATTTGGGAAAATAAATTGAGGACTGAATTTCGTCTGAATCGCTAAGCCTTGTTTGGCTCATGTTTATGGCACAATTCTATATTTATGATATATAGATAAGTATAAGGGCCTTTGTTGACTCATTGACTCAAAAATAAGAAAAGAAAAATCTAGAAAGAGAGAGAGAGAGAGAGAGAGAAAAGAATTCATGGAGGGGAGAACCAAGGGAGGAAGAAGAGTAAAGAAAGGGGAAATCAAGCTATCTTCTTCATTTAAATAATCAAGGTAAGGATCTTCTCTAATTTCTTGAAATAAGGTTGATTCATGCATGACCTTATGGTAAATAAGTGGATTGAAGAAGAAATATGTTTAATTTGAGCATGAATGGCAAAAATTGATGATTTATGTTTATATTTGGCATTCTTGAGGAAGAACCTCCATGGATATGAAGAAATGAAGCTTTTACATGAATAGTTATGATTCTTCACCTTAATTCATGGTTTGATCTTGTACATGATGCATGTGGGTTTTGTTGAGAAGTTGTAAGGTCTAAATCAAGTGGTTTTCAAGTGTTTTGGGGCTTGGTTTCCATCGTTTTGAAGTTGTTTTTGTTAAAGGAAAGATCCAAGCTTTGGAAGATTTCAGAATTTCGGATTTTCGCGTGGTCTGCTCGAGCGGAGGTATTCCCGCTCGAGCGTGAAATCGGCCTCCCAGCAGTTTTGGAAAATTGTGCAGTCCGCTCGAGCGGACAAAGTGGCGCTCGAGCGGGGGACTTATTTTCAAGAAAATTTTGAAGGTTGTATTCAGTTCATATATGGCATGAATTACTTGATTTGCGCATGTTATTGGCATCATTTGGCATCTCATGAATATGAAATTTACTAAGGGAAGAATAGAATGGCATGAATTAAGTGATTTAATGATAATGTGTATTGAAGAAATGAGTTATAATGTTAATAATTGCAGGTTAGGAGGCGAAGACGGTGCAATCGGTTTTGGAAACCCACTGTGAGTAACATTTCTGTAAAGATATGTTAGTATGATCTATGTTTAAAAGTGCTACGTTATGCTATGGTTTTGAAATTATAAATGTTTTCTGTGAACGAATGTCCAGTTTGCGAATCTAGTATGGCATCCATAGATAGTCCTAAGTGGACCAGTTTACAAGATCTCGGTATGTGTTTAATCGGTGTCCGGGACCGGTTACTCTAGTCGTTGGACGACAAATGTTATGTTCTATGGAGTATGCCATTATGTATGTTCTGATATGAGATGATTATGTTTATGAATGATTTATTTTATGGTTATATGAAATGTGGAATTCGTTCACTACCCCTTTACTTTAATGTTACTTGCTGAGCTTTAGCTCATTGTTTGTATATATGTATTTATAGGTGAGCACTCTGGAAGTCAAGCCTAGGCGGAGTCCGAGCCGAGCCGCCGTTTTGAAGCCTACCCGGTGTTTTGGTGCCTCCGAGATGGGGCTAGGCCTCGAAGGCCGTTAGGAAGCTTGGTTTTGGTTGTACATGTGGCGTGAGCCTATGTTTTGTACATGAATTTTGATTATATGTGATGTAATGTAGTGGGTAAATTAACATTTTTGGCATGTAATGTATGTTCATATAAATGCACAACTCTTTGGACTATTAGTGTTTTGTTTTCGCTTCCGCAAGCCCCGGTTGTGTATGTTTTGTACAGAAAGGCCTGTGGTAATCTAGGATTACTGGCCGGTTACGATGCCAACCTTCTCAGGGCGGGTTTGGGTCGTGACAGTAGGCATCTTCAACAATCCTAACACCGCTACATCACATCCGGTGAACCCCAAACAGGTTCGCAAACAGCGCCTACGCAATACACTGGAGCTGCTTTTGTGTAAGCCACCCTATGATGTGGTCATCATCAGGCTGGCACATCATCACCTCCTGGTAATCTGCATTATCCATAAGTGTCGAGGCAAAATGGAATAGCGGCGTATCAATCAGGGATGGAATACTCATCAGGCGATGCATGCACTCCGAAATAGTGTACAGCGATTCGTTGCCTGTGAGGTGCCTCACCGTAACCTGCTGATTCTTCGTACGCACCACATCTGTTAGATTGTTTATGCTTTCCGCAATAACTGACGCTCCACTTGTTGTCTTCTTCGACTTTGAAACACTTGTTGATGGTGTCTTTCTCCTTTTTCCCTTTTCAATCGGAACATGCTCTAGTGAAGAATCTGAATCTACGTCCTGTACTCTTGCGGGTATCGGATCAGCAAAAGGCTGGGCTCCCAAACTATGCACTGAATCAGATGAGTCATCAGCTTCAGAAAGTTTCTCTCTCGGGGTCCAATGGTGCTTACCAGCAGTTGATGCCCCTATGAAGACCGTCTCCATCAAGTCACGATGTTCCGAGGTTTTTTTCCTGAACTTGGCACACACTTTGTTTATCTGCAGAAAGTGAGATATATGAAAAGGAAAGACGTTACATTTCATATAATTAATTAAAAGTTAACTAAAAAGGTTAAAAATGTACTGGTAACAGACAAATATGAAACTTGTTTGTACATGCACTTATCGATTCCATCTTGTCCCACCACTCCTCAGGTGCCTGAAACATACCGGTGTCACAATCAAACCCTATCCCTGACACTCCTTTGCTTGAATCCATCAACTTTGTCCACGCTTGCCACTCTTTTTTCAAACTCATGTATTTATTCTTCAACTGTTTCAGGCCATGTTTTCTTCTTGTTTTTTTCTCAAATTTCCTTGCCAAGGACTTGTACCCTGCTTGGCTGAGGACTAGGAATGTGCGATTTCCTTTTGTAATCTCATTTGCAATCAACTGTAGGAAAACTCGTATTGAGTCACTGTCCCATGAGGCATTGTGGCTAAACTGATTATGTGTCTCTTCAAGACTGCTTGACTTGTCTGTGACAATGCCTTTGTTTTTGGATTGGGTACGTGGAGAAGTACATATGGAAGCCATTACTAATATACGGTTACAAAAGATTACCATCACAAATTCGGTTGTTATATACAAACGCATAAGTCATTGCACATTAATAACAACAAACAGAGAGATAGGATGCTAAATTACACAGCATATAACCATTGCACATTAATAACATACATACACAGGTTCCATGGAACTCAGTAGTGGACATAGTTATGATAGTCATTAATACATCTACCGTTTCGTAGTAGAGGAAGGCAAAGGTAGCTTAAAGTCATACTAAAACATACTACCAACATACTAACAACCTCGTAACGTATTTGTACATACTGACAACATCCTAACGTTGCTTACATACAGAACAACAAAATGACAACGACAATGCATAGCACATACACAATGGTCTTAAGGACACACAAGGATTGTTGAATATCTATGACATCAGCCCGCAATTGCGTGACAATTTCGTCTCTAGGTGACACATAGTCTTGGTTCTCTCGCCTTGGTTCTTCGCACCAACCAATCCAACTGACACAGGGCTGATGAGTGCAAATGATGGAACTATTAGTCAATGGGTTGTTAATGTTCATGCAGTTATGACCGGTAAATAATGGTCACTCACCACAGGGCGGGGACATGCAAAGTACGGACGCCCTGGATTTTTGGTGGACCCGGAAATCTTAACAATACAGGGGCCATGTCCACAGGCACACATTCATCGTGGCCATGTACTGGAAGTTGCAGTAGAGGTAAACGAAGCCATGCTATGCTTTACAAACATTTGGAAGTGACAATGAATCATATAAGTAATTAGTTTATGTTATCCATATATCAGGTTAAACATGAACTGAATACACTGATGCACAAGTTAAACACATATGGATGAAGCATAGGGGAAAATCCAACAGTTTAGATTTCATACCATAGTGAAGCATAAAATCCGCATAACATATGGAACTCTACAAGGAGAATGAAGCATGAACCAAAGTAATTATATGGTGTTTTGTTATGAATATGACAGGGATGGTTCGTATCAGAACTAAATGGTTTCACTGTGGAGGAGATCTAGAAAAGAAGACCTAGGCCAGGATTGGTCAAAACATGTAAGTAAAAAAAAAAAGAAATTAAGATGGATACAAACATGAAGAGAACACAGACCCATAAATGTAATGCAACATGATATACATGTATGTACAACCAAATGGTTCGATCATAATACACTTGTCAGTTGTCGCTGACAGAGTAGTTGTGTTTGAAGAAGTGAAGTTGTGTTTGACGGAGTAGTGGTGTTTACCAAATCAATTAAAAATGTTTATGTTATCTATAATAGTTGTGAATACGCTGATGCACAAAAACAGCAGAAGGAACTCTTTCAGATTTATGAATACAACAGCAGAGGGTTTTATTCAGATTTACCAATGCTAGCAATACATAAATTTACATTTCTTTCTTCATTCACTAATGTACGTTACCAATGTTACAAAATAGAAATTTGTAGCAGAGTCACAAATTTCATTCACAGAACCCATTCACAGACTCACAGACTCACAGATGTGATTCAGAGATTTCATACACAGGACCCATTCAGATACTCATAGAATCACAGATTTGATTCACAGACTCACAGATGTGATTTACAGATTTCATTCACAAGACCCATAAACATTTCAGATTTCATCTTTCATTCACAGAATCAGATTTCATTCAGCATTGACAAATCAATGCGTGTAATAGATCTGAAATGTTTTATTAGGTAATGAAATATAAGAAATGCAAGCTACTAGTGTTTAAGAGAATGAGAATTATAAGAAATCAACTTCAACTTCTGATATGAAAATGTTCACAGAATCAGATTTCATTCACAGATTGAACTTTCCATTTGTTTAACAGACATGATGGAGAGATGTGATTTCATGAACTTTCCATTTGATTCACAGACTCACAGATGTGATTCACAGAATCAGATTTCATGAACTTTGCACTTGATTCATAGACTTACAGATGTGATTCACAGATTTCATTGACAGGACCCATAAACATTTTAGATTTCATCTTTCATTACAGAATCAGATTTCATTCAGCATTGACAAATCAATTTGAATAACAGATCTGAAATGTTTTACTAGGTAATGAAATATAAGAAATGCAAGCTACCAGTGTTTAAGAGAATGAGAATTATAAGAAATCAACTTCAACTTTTGATATGAAAATGTTCACAGAATCAGATTTCATTCACAGATTGAACAAAATGCTAATTCTGTTGTTTATAGAAATACATGGAGACAGGGTGTTTGTAAATTCAGAATGTTTGACATGGAGCCATTGGCAGAGTCATGAACACAGAAAGTTCGTTTTTAGAGAACTTGCAAAAAAATTGGTATACAAATTCCATAAATGACAGGGGAAAATTGAGAAAACATATGAACTGCATGTTTCATATTTGAGAAAAATCTAATTTCAGCAATAAGATTTCAGGTGAGGCACAACAGTGCGTTTTATGAAGAAAATAATTTTGATTTTAGATTGGGTGACAAATCAGGATGTAGAAATTGCAGATCTCACAAAAAAATTGGCAGGAAAAAAAAACAGAAAATGGGTGTTCGACTTTGAAATCATAGGGTTTACGATTCAGACATTGTAATGTGAAGAAAATGTGTTTTCAACCACTAATCGGCCGTATTTTTTATTTTCCATGACAGATATAACGGTGGGTTTCCACACAGATATAACGGTGGGTTTCCCATTTTGCAAACCGAAATGAAAAAAATGTAACCCAAAGTGAAGGAAAATTTTTTAAGCAACAACAACAATGGGTTCCAAAGATCAAATCACTGATCGGGTTGAAGGAAAGGGTATTACGCAAACAAACCCCCCTCCAAAAAAAAAAAAAAAAAGGAGAAAGCTTAGTTTACCTTTAAATTCCAGATCTTTGAGAGCCTGAGTTGTAGGGTCGCCGACGATATGAACTCCGGTGGCGTACCAATGTCAATTCTGTCGTCGTTCTTCTTCCCCTCAAGCGCCGATTGGATCGCCTCGTTTGCTTCAGCTCCAAAGTGGATGACCTAACCAGTGCGAAATGTGTTTGAGAGTGTGATACTGTGAACACCGACCCAGGGGTAATTTGGTAATTTCACCCCTCCTTGTATGTGAGATACAATTCAAACGGAGGCTGAATGTGTTTTTGTTACGTTATGGCTATTTTAGCCAATTCTATCGTGTAGTGGCTAAATTAGCCCACAACTCTCTTGCCAAACGGACCCTTAAACTCTTATATCTTTAGTAAGTTTTCTAATAAAATTATTACTAATATTTATAGAATCATATAGCAAAATTACATATATGTTTAAAAACATTGCATAATTAACATTGCAATTTATTGACTAGAACAAAGCAGCCCCCATGCAACAACCCATCTCAAAAATAGCCAGCTCCTGGCCAAAATCCTTTTAATTATGAGGCAAATGAAGCACAACCACAATGATTTACTAGGATCTTTTCATGGGTGACAACAAATAAGGCCTCATAGATGAACAAATAGCCGACAATCATCTTTGCAGCTCGTGACACCACGCCTAATGTCCTAACATGGACCATCAAGCACCTTGCTGAGAACCAAAGTGTTTTCCAAGCTTTGCAGCACACAAGGTACTCAACGATCAACGTTAAAACGCTAGTCATGGTATCGTGTGCTGTAAAACTTGGAAGGACACTATGGTTTTTGACAAAATACTTGATGATCCACGTTAAAACGCTAACCGTGGTGTAGTAAGTTGCAAAGACGATATAGATAATGTTATTGGCTATTTGGTCGTCTGTGAGGCCTTCCTTGTTGCCCATGAAAAGATCTGAGTAAATCATTGTGGTTGCTCTTCAATTGCCACCTAAATTGACAAAATTTTGGCCAAGACCAGAACCTGCTCCTTCCTCACACTTCATGGATTTGTGGAAGAGTGTCCCTAGAAGAGTAATGGGCATTGAACTGTAACTGTCTCTAACAATGTAATAATAACACCTCTTGAGATATTCTCTGTAGAAAACTTCATGTTTTCCCAATATGGAAAGTAATGCAACATTGAATGTGTACTGCAAGAATAAAAAAACCACACAATTTAATCAGTAAATTAATTGATGTGTAATTAAAGAAAAAAGTCACTATAACAATTGAGCAGTTAGGGGTGTTTTATGAAACAGGGGAAGAGAAACAAAGTAAGAAAGAAAGAAGGAAAATAGAGGAGCTCTGTTTTGCTCAGTTATTCTCTGTTTTGGGTGAAAGAAAAAAGAGTTTCTGGAGAGACTCACTGTCTTCATTTCATGGAAAGTTTTGAACAACTAGCATTCCCATTATTTTAGAGAGTCGATGGAGATGGATTCGATGTTAGAGATGATGTTTTTATTGTTTCGAGCATGAATGCTAGAGAACTAGCTTCTTCAATTTGGTGTGGTACTCTGCTTGATGAAATAAAATGGCTTGCTTTCCCAACATATCATCTCTTTGCTCACCAGAAATGTGGGGGGTGAGGAAAGTGAAAAGAGAATTGAAGCAAGTAAGTAAAAAATGATTGTGCACTCCATGTTTTGGTAGGAGTAGTTTTTGCACTTTGGTAAAGCTAAGAATGGCCTTTTCAGTTACAGCTTGAATTCTACATGAAGCTCACAGTTTTGGAAGAGAGAGAGAGAGTGTGTGATAACCCAACCTGTAATATACTTAATTACGCATGTGATTATGTGTTTGATATGAATTTGTATGTTTAACTATGTGAGTTATTATGTGATTATGAATTTATATCTATTGAGTGTAGGAAAATCTACTGCTATTGGGGCTTTGAACTAAAAATTTATAACCTTAGAGGCGCCAGAAACCAAAACCGATTTCATATCTATGTTTAGCAGGATTTTTAGAGCCTACAGTAAAATTTGGCAAAATTACGATTTGTAATGAATTAATTGAGCTTAATTAGCATAAACCTGAGATTAAGCCAACCTCATTATGTATGTGATTTTATGTTTAATTAATTAAGGAGATTTGGATTCTAATTGGTTATTACTCTAAGGTAATTTGGGATTTATGAGAATTTTGGAGTTTGATTCGTATTTGATTTTAATAAAGATTTATTTTAGAATTAGAAATTAAGGGTCCCAATGGCTTAAGGAAGTGAAATTAACAAGTTGAATCAATTAAATACGGACTCATTTGGGAGCTAAGTAAGTTAATTATGTTATAAGGTTTGAGAAATTATGATTATTATGAATTAAATCTATTCACGAGGTATCCAATTTGAATACGAAATTTATTGATAAGGATTTTGGATTTGATTTTAAATTGAGGGCCTTGGTGATTTATGAAACAAAAATTGATGATGATAATAAGTTCAATTTAATATTGGAACCTCCTTGTTTTATTTTGGGACATTGATCGAAGTGGTAACATAATGGTAAAGTAGGAGTGAACCAAGAATTTAATTTGGATAATTTTTTTTATGAACAGTCGTCACTCTTTTGCCTTTTTCTTTTTTCACACTTTGAATTTGGATGTGAGGCTAGAACCATTGAAAAACTTATTTCCGGGGCTTCGATTTGGACACAAGAACGGCCTAGAATGGAGTCCGAATGAGAGGGTTATACCCGTTTGAAGTTTTCATATCTGTGTTGAAAGCAAGTACGCTCGAGCATGGAAAGCGATGCTCGAGCGGACTGCGTGAATTCAGCAAGTTTAAAGGCACTTTTCTAGATCATTCTTCACACCTTCACCTTCTCTCTTCATCCATCTCACCCTTAGTCCGAAAACCCTAGAAATTTTGGCCCAAATACCTTCCATTCCCCAAAGTTTGGCCAAGATCCCATACCATAAAGTGAAGAAGGCGTGAAGATCTTACTGTTCTACCGATTGGAATTCAGATTTGCGAAGGATTTTTCTCAAAGCTTTGCTCTTTGCTTGATTCTTGAGGTAGGGGTCCTAGTTCTTCTTCAATAATTGCATTAATAGATAGATTTGTAGTATTTTGATTATATAAATGCAAAATCTACATTTTTGAGCATGTAGTGTTATATCATGGAAATTGGAGGTTTAGGGTTTGAAGTGTTGGGATTCAATTGTTGGGTTAAGATTATGGATTATGAACCTTGGGTGTATAATCAATAGGAAAATTGGAATAAAAAGAAGTGGTGTGAGAAGTTTTAATTTTTCTTGAAAGTCTTGATTTTTCTTGAAAACCCTAAGTTGATTCATGATGATAATTAATGATTTTGCCCAAATTGAAAGTAGAATCATGAAATTAAGAAGTTGAATTATATATATACAAGTTTAATTAGATTTTGGAAGTGTTTGAAAATTATGTTAAAAATTAGCGATTGAACCTTTATTATGGATATTGTAAATTTACATGCATCATAGATTTCTTGGAATTGATTTCATATTTTAATGAAATAAGAACTAAGCTTTGGAAAATTATGAATTTATGAACAAATAAGTTCAATTTTTTTAAATTAAAGGAGTTTTGATGTAAATGATTTAAAATTGATCTTATTTTTTTGATTATTTAAGAGTAGTATATTTTTAGATAGGCAGTGGCTTTGGTCCAGTCCAAGATCGGACTGGACCGTGCTATTGGGCTCTTGAGGGTCCACCACGGGTTCCGTTTTGATAATTCGAACCGTTCAATGTGTAGAACTCGTTGAGTACTATATACCTGTAAAAAAATCACGTTGATCGGATATTGATAACTATGTGAACAAACAGTTTTTTATCAACCGTTAATTTTTTCACTGTCCATTTTTTTTTACAAAACTGATTTGATCACATAGCTATTGATATCCAATCAACGTGATTTTTTACAAGCATATAGTACTCGACGAGTTCTACACATTGAATGGTTCAGATTATCAAAACGGGCCCAAAAATGGGCCCCATGGACCGAACTGGACGGGTCTAGTCTGATCTCAACTTGAGACAAGTTGGACCCTTTTAGATAAGCCATGTATGAACCCAAGTCTTGAAATTATTTTGAAAGCTCAATTCAAGTTTTAGAATTTGTGAGCTTGGAATTGGACTTGATATGAAGAACATGAATTGAGTTAAATTTGATGAATTTGAAGTTTGTGTGTACAAGCATGTAAGGGATTGTCATGAGTTTGCATATTTGGTTACAAACATGCATTTTATAATGAATTGAAGGTTATTTGGCACACGCAAGCACGACAATGTTGAATTTCATGAAGTTTATCATCAATTGTACTATTTAAGTTGAAAATTAAGCCTATATTTCACATGCATGTATATTTCAAAATGATATGGAAATTAATTTGCATGAGCTTTGAAGTTATGAAGTGAGTTTAATATGATTCGAGTTTATGAGATGGATTTATGTAAATTTGATATTCAAATCTTGTAAAATTGGCCCTTATGTTCATGTTAAAAGTTATATGGTGGAAATATAAGTCTTATGATATTAATTACATTGGTTGGAACCAAGTTTTGAAGCTCAAACATAATCTGGAAAAACCCAGAATTCGACCTGTCCGCTCGAGCGTGGAGAGTCCCGCTCGAGTGTACCCTGTTTTACTAGACTCCTCGCTCGAGCGTCAAAAGTCTCACTCGAGCGTAATTTGTAAGCAACCAGTACTTTTGCAGACCAAAAGGGTCCGCTCGAGCGAAGGGCCCTATTTCAGAAGTTTTGAAAAGATGTTTTATGCTTCGTTTTCCGTTCTCTTTCATTTCAAAGCAATTTTAGGCATGCATTAAACATTGTAAATGAATTAAAGAACATGAAAGGAGCCTAAGAATGTTTAACAAGTTAAAGAACGAAACGAATTGTAATATGACCCAATGTATTATGAATTGTGTAAGGTCAACTACAAGGGCGAACCAGGCATTTGAACACTGTGAGTAATAACTTAGTAAAGCTATGTTCAACTTTATGTATTTTCTATATACGAAATAAGATCTGCTGAAGGAAATGCCATGCTTTATTCTATGAATGATTGTCCAACTATAACAAGCATTTATGGCATTATGCTATGATTCAAGTATGTTACAAGTGACAATATGCTATGATTCAAGTATGTTACAAGTGACAATATGCTATGATTCAAGTATGTTACAAGTGACATTATGCTATGGTTCAAGTATGCTATCTGTACCCAGAC